TTTTTTTTTTTTTCGAATTCTCGACATGTGAAAATCAAGTTTTCGAAAGACATGGGAAGGAATGAAATAGCACGTTCATTTATGAAAAGTTGGGGGACTCAGAAAAGAATAGGCATTCATAAACGAAGGAAAAGATGGGTTGGAATGGAAATTAGAATGAGATTAAAGTATTATCTTCATTCTGGTTGCAACGCAAACACACCAGATGTTCTGCAGTGCAGCACTATTTCAGGACAATTTTAAGAAAAACTGAACAAAGCGAGCGTCAAAATCGTGCGCAGTTTGAGCAACAAGTGATGCAGGCATTAGGAAAGCCTCGGCTGCACAGCTGGAGAATCAGACTGAACTGCAGCTGATCGAAGAAACATACCCAACTTGACGAAGCTGCATCGGATAAATCAGTGGCATTTGCTGTACACAGCGATAACGCGCAACCAGTAAGCGCCCCTACGGCTGTTAGAAGTTGCACACACATCGCCTGTAAATTGCTTTCATTTAAACAGTTTGCATCCTTATTGCTTCAGTTTCTGGAAAGATCAGTCCAAAAATTCATGTGGGACCATTTGCGTTATCATGTATGAAGGATCGCTACGAGGCATGTGCCAAAACCAATCGAAATTCACAAAAACCCCTTTTTCTTCAAACTACGTATCGTTAGAAATAAAATGTACAAAGGAAACTTCGATTCAAAAGACAACAACCAACACCACATTTTCGAGATGAAAGCCCGCAAAAGTAAACCAACTAATACTGCTTACCAAATACGCAATAAAACTGCATAAAATTAAGGTAATGGTGCTTTGGTCTGCAAAAGTACCAAATCACCAACGAAATGAAACAAAGAATTATTGATGAGTTGATTTCGTTCCCTCGATCTTCAGTACTCCGAAAGCAGCTCTTCAGTCACCACAACAATTCTGCTAGCTTTGTGAGTGACAAATATCTCTATAGAAGAAATGCAAAAACGCGAACCTTATTCTTGGAGAACCCGGACTGAACAAGTATAGCGAAATCACCAATCTCATGTGGCACTTCGTGCACAAGCACCGTAATCATAGTGACAACGCCAACAGTTGTGCCGGCAAGATATGATGCACCGATTGCCAGGCCATCCGTAAAATTATGCGCGAAATCAGCGGCCATATTCAGATATGCGGCCACTTTGAATGTGGTTTCGGAATCCTTCGCTCGACGATCCACCAGCGGCGATCGCTCGTCCTCTCGCTCCGAGTGACTAGGCGAACTCTGACAATACAATACAAAGCAAAACAGTTAATCCATCCGTCCAAACGATAAGTACTAAAGCGTACACGAAGCAAACAACAATGCACCCAAACAGTAACTGTTGCTCCGCAACGATATTTTTCATAAATACCAAAGCTACCCGGGCAATCAACGTGGATATGCGATGTTAGTGATGTTACTAAGAAGCTCTCACACGCCCAGTGCAGCAATGCCAGTCCCAACAAATCT